TGATTTGTTGGCAACCAAGCATCACCAATCTCATGCAAATTAGCACAACTGCCTGTCATGCAGATTTAGAAATAATGCCGTCTATGTAGGAAAACTGCCTTTACAAAATAATCAGTCATCCAGGAGAAGACAACTCTTACACCAGTTATAATAGAGTTGAGGTCATTCTTTGTATTGGTCTGGTTCTCTTATAATTATAAATAAATTTGCTTTAATGTCAAATTAGGATTCTACACTTATGCAGTTAAATATTGCCCGAAACATTAGATGCACACACACACGAGAGAGAGAAAGAGAGATTTTTTTCAAAAGATTTTTAGCTTGTTTACTTACCCAAAAGTAGGTAAAAGATCCACAATTTAATGTCTTAGCAACAGTTAAAACAATGGCCAAATGCAATGCATTATCAATACAGATTAGAAAACAATCGATCCACAAGGTAATCTCGGAGATAGAAGCTGGTGTTTTAACTGAAGGATGATACAGCATTCTGGACTGAAGCTAAAAGAAATGAAATAATATCACACTATTTCTACGAATACTTGCAGCCCTGCCAATTCATGAAGATTATTTGAATATGGAATTTTCACAAATTGATATTTATATGGGTCATAGTAGTACCAAGCTCAATTTATAAGAATTTTTTGGTTTGTTTTCATGAGTTATTCATACTGGAAAAGGCAGTTTAAGATTTAATATGACAAAAATTTGAAAGTTACTCTAAAGTCACTCAACCCTCCAAATGATCAAATGCTATCAGCATTTGAAATACATTGAATAAATACTTAAATATTTCTCAATTATGAACGGCATATGTGATATATGTATATTTGGAGTTAATTATTAAATAAGAAATGTAAAGGATTTACAATTTACTTAATACACTAAAGTCAATGAATAATTTAATAATTGGTTATTTTCATTCTTTTGTGCATTTTGATCTCCATGTAAAATGGGTGGGGGTGCTCTCATCCTGAACAAGAAGCTCTTAAAAAAAAAAAAAAAAAAAAAAAAAATTTCAATATTTGGTCAGAATTGGCAAAGTGGGTTAGGTTGAGAACTTTTCTGCAACATCTCATATAATACTCTACACATACTGCATGTGCCATACATGATAAAATCAGTAGAAATGTTGTCTTCATTACAGTTACCTTAAATTTGTCATACATTGAGATGTGTACACTTTTACTTAAATATATAAGAGAATAAACATCATTTGAATTGGTTTTCTTATTAAAATAAAAAAACTTTTCTTAAAAAGTGAAAATTTTGTTAAATCCTCTCCTACAACCATTGTCAAAGCATTAACTGAATTTCTTTTTAGATAATTTTCTTGGCGTGATAACTGTCAACAATAATTATTCCATGGCACATGTATGTTTCCCAAAATCTGACCAAACATCAGAATTTTTTTTTTTTTTTTTTTTAAATACCTTCTTGTCTGTTTCAACTTTTCAGAAGCTATGTTTGTGTGTGCAAGTATATGATTAAAAAAGGTGTGTTTAGTACAGCAAAGTACATTCAGTCCCATGAACAAATAAGATGCTTTATTCATTATTTTGTATAGTAAGAGGATTCAAACTTGCAATTTATATTTATCTCTGGAATTCTGGTTTTTTTTTAAACCAACACAATGATTAATTCCAGATGGTAATTAAAATTTCAAACACAGAGGTTAGAGGTATTTGTTCTGTACAAAACATTATAAAAAAATTATATTTGTAAGAAAGCTAACCCTTTATATGAATGAGTACTAAAAAGTTCTCAGCTTTAATTCATTTAAAAAATTTGACACAAATGCTTGGAATCTCTTCTTGATCAAGGAAAGCACTTTGGAGCACTCCTAATATATATTTAAAGCTGAAAACCACTAAATATTTCTGCTTTAACTTATATCAGAATTGTTGAATAATTATGGCCTAGCGGATTAGAGTGTTGATTAAAACATATCTGGTTCCCGGGTAAGTTCCCTTTGAGTTCAAATCTTTAGGCTAGGTAGTGCAGAAAAGTCACATTTTGAATGTAAGAAGCAGACAAACACTACAAAAGTGAAGAGACTGGTGTGTATACACTGATACGGGTTATCTCCCCTGAGAATAGAAAGTGGTAGGAGAACAATCTAGCCCTGGTGATTGAATAAAGGGCTTGGTTTAAAATTCTGAGATTACCAAGTACGACATACCTGAAGAAGGCCAGAAAATACAATGGTCAAAATGTTGTGAGTATAACTACCAGGTTGAGTATATTAGTCTGAATGAAAATGTATTTAATAATATCTGCTTTAATAAATTTATAAGTATAATAAAACTTTTAAAAGAAAACAGAAATAATTCAATATTTTATAGACAGTTTTTACATTAATGTTTTTCTTATAGACATTTTCCTTGTAGTAGTGGGCTATATTACTAATGTTGGTTCCAATAAGATTCAATTTGACTTCAAGACAAACAATATTGTGTGTGCCCAGAAGTCTTGCAAGCAAAAATCTATTTCTCTAATTCTGTCATCTACCCTATAGAAATTGAATTTAATATGAACATAAGTTTCAAGCAAGAACAAACAGCACCAAAAAATTATCTGCAGCCAGTTATGATCAAGCATAGAGTTAAAGTAATTATCTTTCCTACAATGTTCTTTTGTGCACGTATGTAAATTACATAGTGAACAGGTTGCATCTGTTTTTTTTTTGTTTTTTTTGTTTTTACTTAGATATCTTAAAATGCAGGTCTGTCTGTCTTATTCAAAATTAGAGATCTAAGCTAATTATACATTTTCTTATGGAATGGAGTATTACAAGCAGTTTAAAAGTCCTCATTTGTAATAAAATTGTTAAGTGTATAATTTTGGTATACCTAAGCATAGACCAGGTAATTCTTCTGGTATTAATGAAAACATTTGTTTTTGGAAGCCCTGAAAACTTACCACATTATAACACCTTATATAAAGACCCTTTAGTTTACCATTGCATTCTATTTTATATGATCTATATATTTAAATAATTTTGTTTGATCTATAATTTTAATTAATTTTATTAGATCTATAAGTTCTAATAATTTTGTTAGATTTATTTGTTTAAACTTTCCTTTTATTTCTTTAAGGCTGGTTTATTTAACAACTATAAAAATGTAAAATTTTAATTTTTTTAACTCACAGGTAATTGTAGTTTGTAGTGTATCTTGTTAAATTACGGTTTTTTTTTCTCTCATAGGAAATGACATTTATCTAATGTACAACTTTTGTAGCCAATTTACATCCGTACCGAATATGATGTTTAGATGTTGTCTATGATTCTAAATCTGTGGGTCATGATCTCTTACATATGATTGCTTCTTTTATTTTTTTCCCCTTAGTTTGAACTTAGCATAGGCTATTCTGATTGGTTAATCTGAATATAAACAAATCAAACCCTGCTACTATCCCTTCTCTTTCTTACACTTTTTCTTATTCTTCCTTTTTTCGAGAAAAGAGGGTGTATCTTGTGTCTTTCTTTCTTACTCTTTTTCTTTTCTTCCTTTTTTCATGTAAGGAGGAGGTATGCTGTTTTTAAATCTCAATAAATTGTCTACTTACCAGTTATTTACTAATGCCTGACAAGATGAGTTAATACACATCAAAACATGATTGCATTTGTGTAGCATTTTTATATGTTTTTGATGTAATATCATATATATATATATATATATATATATATATATATATATATATACACACACAGAACATTTTTTTTCAGTCAAAGGTATTTGTCAGGAAAATGGTTAAGAGTGCTCAATACACAATTTAAAAAAGAAAAAACAAATGTGCAGAGTTATTAAATTAATAAAGTCTCTCTCTCTTTCTCTATATATATATATAAATAGTCACCTTAAATATTTCCAATCATTTTTAAAATACCATTGTATTCTCATATTGCTATCATTTTGTTTAAATCTTCAGTCCTTCTCTGAATTTAAGCTTTTCCCCAAATCAATTTTCCCATCCAACATAGATAATCTTTTTGTTTTATAAGTAAAAAGTATGTAATCCAGGATATTTTTTTTTTATTCAGTTTCTTTCCTTAACTTTAACTTCCATGAAATAAAAACAAAATAATGCATAGGCACCAAAAGCATATACTGTACATAGCTTTCTTTAATAAAGATATAAAATATAATTTTTAAAACCAAATTTACAGGGTAAGCATATACATAAGTAAAACCGTTACTAGCAAGTGAAAATATTTTTGCAATTTATAACAATCATATAAATTATGATCAGAAATAGCTAAAATTGCAACCATAGTTGCTGTTGCTGCCAAACATAAAAAATACAGGAAAGATTTATTCTTGCTCTATAGTATAATGGATATATATATATATATATATGTATGTATGTATGTATGTGTTGTATTGATGAAGTCCTTGTTATAAAAAGAAACAAAAACATGGGAGAAGTACAAAAAATGAGAGGCATGTATCTCATGATTTTTTTTTTTTTTTTTGCCAATTCAGTGTATGATACTTATTAACACAAATTATTACTTATAGTAGAGTGCTGAAAAATTTGAAGTCTTAATTGCTTCTTATATGCATTTGTTTAAGAAGCAAAAGACAAAAGAGGATACAAGTAATTTGGAGGGGAAAATACTTACAATTTCTTCACTTCTAAACAGGATTCCTTCTTCAGAAGGACATTAGTGAGGAATGAAAATAAAAGGAAGGAACAAACACACATGCAAACAAATGCCGACACCTTATTTGTTAATCAGTCTTATCTACCTATGATAACAATAACATTATCTAATTACTATTTTGGTTTGTTTATCTGTTTGTTTTTGATTATTGCAAATAAAGCAGACATCATTATTAGATATTAAGACAGATTAATGAGAACCAACTTCTGCTTAATAAAACTACTAAGCACTAATAAAACTTTCTGATAGCAATTATTCAAAGCATTCACAAATTTTGATTCCAAGCATAACTTTGTACTTTCATAAAGAATTAGAAATATAAAACACTCACTTTTTTGTTATTCTGTAAAGCTATGGTATCTGATGTCTTGTATAATGGATGTGATGGAAGTTTTTCAATAAATAACCTGCATGAGAAGGAAAGAAATTGGTTTGAAATTCAACAACAAATCTAATCATTGGTAAATGATAAGAAATAAGAAAATAAAAATTTTCAGAGAAAAAAAAAAAAGCAAATTAAGTCTTTATCAATTGTTTTGTTTGTTTTCCTGCTGCCAAGATTAGACAAAAACTTGTTTCTAAGAATCAAAAATTCATGCCCAATGAAGGACACTTAGGGATGAATCTGTTAAATGTCCAAAACAACAACAGTGGTGAAAAAGTCCAAATCCAGTCTCAAAAATCCAAAAGGCAGAGAGATGTGTAGTATAGAAATCAAAAATCACAAGTCCAACGTTGAAAGTCCAAGAGACAAAATAAAATCGGGTCAAAAATATCCAACTCACAGATTCTAATGCAGTGAATTCACTCACTCACAAACCCAAAAATACACACCCGCCTCTTCAAGAAAAGCAATGGATTTTATTGAGAAGGTAAATTTTTCGATTGGTCACAATAGTCAAGGCAGATAAAAAAATTACTATATGTGAGACTAATTATCTAAGATTTTTTTTTCAGTAAATTGTAGACAGGACACAAACTCTTTTTTTGTGGGTAACTGATTTTTTTTTTTTATTAAAATCCATTGTGGCCAAGTTTTGATACAAGCCATCATAAACAGGAAACATGGCTACTAAGTAACAGGTTAAAAAGTTGAACTTTAAATACAAATTGAAGGAATTTTCTTTGCACTCCTGACATAGTAGTATTGACACAATATCAGATTTTATTATAAGTCACTGGTTCCAAAATAAAATTGGCATTAACCAACAGATGTTGAGAATTTGCAGAATATATTTCTATGATGAATATACTATGTGAATTTCAGCTTATGATATCTGTTTTTATTAAAAACATTTACAAAAACTTGTTTGGTTCTACAAAATTTTATTATGCAGCTTGAAATTTGCTAATTATATTGTAAATAAATAAATAAATAAATAAATAAATAGATAGATAGATAGATAGATAGATAATAGTACAGTTATTAATATTCATTTTTTTATTTGACATGTAAGCAGAAGAGAAACAAAATATTGTAAAGTTAACAAGTGATGGGAATACTAATACAATACTGACAACAGGGAAAAAAGTTAAAAGACCATAGAACAGTGAAAAAGAAATTGAAAATATTGGCAAGAAAAAAAAACAAAACAAAAAAAAAACTATCTTTAAAAATGTCACAAAGATTTGAGAAAATTAAAAGAGTAATAAGCAAGAAAAGATAATTGATCAGCAATAAAAATATTTGAAGGAACTGGTATTGTGAATGAGAGAAAAGATGCCGAATATTAAGAATATTGGCTAAAGACATGAAAGCTATTAAACTACCACCTTTAAATAAATATCACAAAGAGAAATATGTAAGTTGAGAGAAGAAGTACATGTAAACTGATTTCTCAGTAGTAATTTTTTGTGATAAATGCAGAGTTACACTGAAAGAATCTAATGGCTGAGCTGGGTCTTTCATAGAAATAGTCAATTAATACAAGTTAGAACATAACTGGGAGTATGTGAATTAATGTTTCAGGCTTGTATTAAAGGCAACTCCAGTGAAAAGTTTGTTATCAATTCCTGCAATCCATTTCCTTTATTCAAACACTTCACTGACCCCTAATACATGTCTCCTGTTTGATACAGCAGTCGCCATTTTCCCAGTTGCCTCATTATGCCACCTTTTTTTGTATCCTCATTGACAACCAAAATTTACATATGTAAAAAGAGATTCTCATGAGAGTCTATCAGACTCCGGGATATATGATAAGCCAACATGTGAAGCCAACATTTTTCCTTTTGGAACAGTTTACATGCAAGACCATATGAATCCACTTTTGTCCTGGAGGTAAACCATTTTCTCTAGTGTTACATTGACTGTTGCAAAAAATTCATGTAACCCTGGACCTCTTTGCCCTCTGCAGTAGTTCATTACAGCAACAAAATTATAGCACACTTTAAAGTTTACAATAGTGTTGAGATAAATGCAGGGAATTATCTAAGTTCTTGGACAAGATGCTTTTTGAGTGTTACAAGTTGCAACCATGAAATGTTAAGATAAAAGATATATTCATGCAAGACAATGCTCCCTCATCTTTTGCAAAACTAGGGCCCCCAAAGACACCAAATTAATAGAATGGCCCCCAGCCTCTTCAGATATTAATCCAATAGAAAATTTGTGGTCCATCATTAAAAGACACATATATATGTAAATAATAATCAAGATCTTTTGGAAGCAATAACAAATGCCACATGTAGAAAAATTAACAAACTCAGCCAAGTGAAGATTATAGAATGTGAAGGAAGCGATATTCAGATGACAATTCATTCAACTAAATTGGATATAATGGTAACCAACTGTTTCTATAAACTAAATCTTTTAGATTTATACTGTAGTATAATGAGAGTTTTTATGATCAGTTTTTTTATACAAAAAGTTGGGGGTCACACTATACACAGGTAATTCTTTTTCTGGAGGGGTTAAAATTCATACAAAAAAATTCAGAGAGTGCACTATACCTGAAGTTGACTCATACAAGAGTATACACAGTAAATAAAAATTTATGCTGTCTAATAAGACCTAACAGTGCCAAAACAAGTTACCAATAATTTTTAATAAGTACTAATACTATAGCCGAAACTCACAATATATTGCTATAAGTATATCTTCAATATTTTACTAATATTGGTTGGTTAATACTAATTGTGAAAACATCGATTTGTCTAATAAAATCTGACAATGTATGTGAATTCTGTAGTTTCAAGCAGGGTTTTCTTTCGCCTTGCCCTGACACTTTTTCTTTCAAAGATATTAAATGCAAAGTCATTAATCATACAAATTGAGCAAGTATTAAACGAACAGCAAAGAAAGCAACTTAAATGAAGAGTTATCTTTCCCTGAAGTAAATAGAAATAGTAGTATTTTTTCCGCTCCATCTTTATTAATATTAACTGGTATTCAGTGACTAACATCGAAATGAGTTTCAACATCAGATTCATAAAATAAAATATCCAAACCATTTTCAGAAAATGAATGATAAAATCATGTGTTCTTCCTTTTCTGTGACTGATTAGAAAATCTTTTGACATAAAACTCATGCAAAATTTAAACTTGCAATGGGTTTTGATTGGTTGTAATGTAAAGTGATGCAAATTGACAGTTGTTTTTTTTTTTTTTTCCTTTGCTGAGAGAGTCCTGGGTATGGTGTTAAATTACATCTGGCAGTAAAGCCTCTGATCAGGAGATTGGAAGTTTTAAGGAGCATGGAACCACCTCTTGATTACTGTTGCTCCCAGGTCAACTCTGACCCAATGTGGTAGCACCTTTTAGGGTCCCAGCTATGAGAAAATAGTTAACAAAAAATACTATGAAAGTATAAAAATATATTTTTACAGTGAAAATACCAGCAATACGTTTTATATAAAAAAATTATCAACATTACACATTTATAGTAAAATGACCAACAATTTTATCTGTAGTTTAAAGCATACAATTGCATTCAAAATATATTTAGTTGAAGCCATAAAATTGTGTTCAAAATATTCAGATTTCAGCATTAAATGACCCATAGGGGTTGATATGTTGCTAAACAAAATCAATCAACCAACCTTTGTTGAGAGACCGTGTTGATGGTGCTTTGTTTCAGCTAAGTTACTATACAGATTAGAATTTTTACTACCAAAAACCCACCTGGAAGAATTGCAGAAACATTTTATACTTTACACAGATTTATTACCAGCATTAGTTCAGATAAAATAGACATATGCAGGCCATCATTAACAAAAGGAAATCATTTACTGAAACAATAAAGTAATAGGAGTGGAGAACTAAAAAAAGTTATTGTACTCACGTGATGAATTTAGAATACAAAATGAATGCAGCTTCCAAGTTTCCCTCTTCATGATAAACAGTGGCCATTCTAAGCATTTCAATACCAGAACGGAAATAATGCTTTGGGGCCACAGATTTGTCAATAGCAACCTGACAACCAAATTCACATAGGGCCCTCACTCGGGCTGCAGGGTCATGGATTTCTTCAAACATGGCAGATGTGGGGTCAGTTTTCAAGATTCAAATAGCTGAAAGACAATAACAATAGATATGACACTCACAAGTCAGTGTGAAAAGTTTTCAACATGAATCATCAAAAGAAACTACGCCTTTCTATGGTGCTTAGTATGACAATTGGAAAGTGCAATCATCATCTTTCATGGCATTATTTCTGTAGTTTAGAAAATAAAAATTTATCATAAAAACAGAATCAAAGACTATGAAAAAATATTCAAACAATATGCAGAGGAAAAATTTTGTTGAAAAATAACTGTTTACATAAAGTAATTTTCAATGCCAAACATTTACAAATATTGTAGATGGCCTTTAGAGATAAATCAAAAAAAAAAATGTCCATTACATAAAGCAGTACTTCCCAAACTTTTTTTTTCTGGGCTGCATTTTTTAAATTAAAATTTGCTCATGCATCACCAAATTTTATGTGATAATAAGTACATTTAAAAATAGAAAAACAGACAGATAAAGGGAGATAACCGTGGATTTGAAGTCAAAACTTTATCATTGATAACTCTCTCAACCAATTTGCAGAGCCTAATTACTATATTCTTAATACTTGATATAATGTAAAAATATCACAATGATTAAATAGGTCACTAATTATTTATAACTACTTATACTGGGACTCATGTATGCAATTACAAGTAATCCAGAATATTTTAAATTTTGAAATAAGAAATTTTTAAACAGTTTCTAAATCTTTGATTGTCTTTCAATCATTCTGCCTCACCTGCTATCCTCTTCTGCTGCACATATGAGGTGTGCCGCACTGTTTGGGAACTACTGATATAAAGGAATAACATTAACATTTTGTTTTGTTTCTTTTTCTCAAAAACTTGTAGACATTATTTATAATGTAGAAAGAGATATGGCATTGACATTTTGTTTTTATTAACAATTTTAATAATTAAGAATAAATTTACTAAAGACATTACAGGTTAATTTACACCTATGATTTGAATGATAAAAATGTATTTAGAAGCCAGTGACACACACACACACACACACACGTGTGTGTGTGCATGTAAGAGAGTGTGAGTAAAAAAGAGAGTTTCCAGTATGAAACATTTACAAGTACCAAACAATTGAACAAAGAACAAATGTAATATATGCCTATGAAACAGACAGCAGAACAACAATATATCGCACTACCATAGATTAAATAAAGGGTTCAGTTCAAAATTCTATGAATATTACCCAGATCAAGAAACACCTGAAGGAAGTCAGGGGGTGCAGCAGTCAAGACAACGTCATAATTACAACAAAGATGAGTCCAAATGTAAATAATGTAAAGAACTGGATAATAGTTGGTTCTTTATTAAAAAAAAAAAAAAATATATATATTAATATTCTTTTATGAAATGGAAGCTATCAAAGTAGACAAATGTGTATTTAAGCAGGAATAAAATTTATACATTTATTTTGGAGAACTTAGTGAACCAGTTTAAGAGTTCCTTTGTTTCAAAGTGAATGTGGTAATAAGACCCCAATATTAAATATGAAACCATATTTCTTCTTTTGAGGCCATCAGTTTTCTGTTCTCATTAATAAATAAAAACCAACAGCCAAGCAGACATTTGTGGTTTTTGAGCTGCCTGAATGATTTCCAACTCAATTAAGGAACTGTATTAATGTTATTTGTACATCAGAAACAATTTAAATCAAAACTTTCACATTTCTCAAAAAAAAAAAAAAAAAAAAAAAAAAAAAAAGGTGACTTTGAAAATGTTAAAAAATGTTTGAGTTTTGCATTTAACTATCTTTGATGGAGGGATTTTCAGTGCCAAAAATAGATTCAATGCCCCCCCCCAAAAAAGACATAGGAATAGAGGTCTAGATCATGATTTTCTGATAAATACAAGGAAAATTATGTCAAAAAATGATATTTGGTGTCTGGCTTATGAAACCAAAACCAGGTAAAGATCAATTTTTTAACATATGAAAGGAACTGAGTATGTTTTAAATATCTTCCCAAAAAACAATTTTCTTATATTTTGCAGTTTTAAATTGTTTTTTGGGAACTTGCACAAAGAAGAAAAAAAATTTCTCCTAGAAATTATTTTTCTAGGATCAAATTATTGGGTGGGGGGATCTGTCCCTTATAACAAGGTTCCAATGACATTGCTAGCAAAAAGAGGCAGAAAAAGCAAGTATCCAGAACACAAGGTAAATAAATGATTAAAACATCTTCTAATTTTGATTAACTTCAAATGATCATATTTTGATAAATAGTTGAAGTTAGAATAAAAACCAGTCCTGAAATCTTGAGACTGTCTACTTTCAAATGAAATATAATATAGCACTTGGAAAATGTTCCAAAAATGCCAAATGTCAACTTACGAGCTCACTGTGAAAACATGCCATGACTTCTGTCAAATGATCAGTTAGAGAGAGAGAGAGAGAGAGACGTACCTTTCCAGTTTTTTTTTTTTATAAAGATACAAGTTACAATTGACATTCATTCAAACAAAGTATGGGACAATTTGTCTTTGGTTAGTAAATAAAAGAAAAAAATGAATCCTAAAATATCTTTGGGCCACTGTTTTGTTTTTAGTTTATGTTTCACTGATAATTTGTTTGTTTGAAAGAGAATTTCTTGTCTTATGAAAGACAAAAAAAAAATTTATGGCAGCATAGTGTAATTAATTAATTAATTACAAAGTCTCTAGCTAGACACTACTTACTTTGTAGCAGTATTATTACTGGTGCACCTGATTTCATTAGATTTCCACAAAGTTACCATACGAAAATCGTTGCTACTACTACTAATGTAGCAATTCCATGTCCATTTTATTATTTTTCTCTCTGGTGGTTTTGATTGAAAGAATGACACAAGTGAGGTACAACTGAAATAAGGAACCAAATATCTTATAAAACGGACTTGAATACACAGGGTTAAAAAAAAGTATTACAAAATATATCTGCTAAAAATATATTGATTCCTGACTCATTAATTTTTTCAAAATCCCATTTAAAGATGCAATTATTAATTTAACCCAACCAACGTAAAACATTTTTATATTAAAAAAAAAACCAGGTACGTCAAACTCAAACAGTAAAACAAAACAAGAAAGATTATGTTTATTCATTGTTAGTTAATGATTATTTACTCAAAGTTGTTTACTGTATGATCTGAAGACAAGTTTGTGGTGTAGTTTTTTTTTTGTTTTTTTTTAGTAATGTTGTTTATATTTTTAAACAGTAGTAAACTGAAACTAATTTTGAATGAATATTTATTTGTTCAGGAGAATAAATTTGTCAAGTCCTATCGTTATTAATTCTGACATTTCATTTAAATGTCAAAAATAATAATAATAATTCTAGTGGGGCCCCGGAAAAGATCATAAAACTGACAACCTTGAAAAGTAAAACTTTGCTTGACAAAAAAAAATGTATTATTTCACTGAGAAAAAAAATGCCGAACTTACTTGAAAAAGAAAACGAAAGTCAATTTCGATTGCTCTTATTTTTCATTGACTGAAAAAAAAGAAAGAATCCATTCTTGTCGAGAGCAGAAATAATATGAAATGAATTAAGCGAATAATGAAAAATACTTTTTAAAGATTGAAATTACAGTATAAGCTAAAAATAGCAACACTCCCTAATTCTGAAACTTTTAGCAAATGGCCAGTAAAAATCACGTACCCAACTTTTTGTTGGATGAGTCACTATGTCACGAGAGAGACATTTAAATGCGATTACTTCATTCATAATATACACATTTAATGAATGAATGATTACAAACATGACGTAGTTGTTGTTATGGAAAGTTCTAGGGATCCCTACTGCAGATTATGACAACTATCAACTCAAATGGATCAAAGTTTATTATTTAGAAACTTTGAAATAAAATTGAACGAAACTAAAAAACTAAACATGATACAAAAAAAATTTTGAATCGTAAAGAAAATAGAAATCGTAAAATTGGCAGCTATATTCAATGATATTGTGTAGTTTTGCTTTCATTTCTCGGCATTATTTTAAAAATAATTGCAACTGAAGCCGACATCGTTTTAAAAAAAACATAAATAGTTTAATTGGCCAGTATTTACAAAATGTCGATATTTGTTTACCTGAGGGTGAGGGTGGACCTGCTGTTTAAAAAAAAAAAAAAAAAACTTCGGTGTAAATATCTTTCTTTTTGTACTAATTAGCAGTTAATGTGGAATTGTAAACAAAAAAGAGTGATTACATTACAGTTACAGTAATTACACTTTACACTACAGTCATTTCCTTTTTTGTAAACACAATAAAGTAGACAAGAAAGTTTTCCTTTTCAGATTCCATAGTGTTGAACTTTGATTTAAAAATTCAGAGACCTTGATTAATCAAAATAAATAAATAAATAAATAAATAAAAAAACGGAATAATTTGGTGCATAAAACGGGGAGACGTTAATAAAGGAAAAAAAAAAAAACTATCCCTCTACCGGACCCTAATTTACCTGGCACTTATGCTGATAATGTTGAAAATAGCTTGAGCCCCAGGGTGCCATCCTCCCGGGCAGTACCTACGGGAGTGGGCTGATGTCAGAGGTGACCCCAAATGGGGATGTGCCGAGGAGGCTTGAGCAGTTTTTGTACAGTTTTCCCGAAATACAACATTAAAACTCCGACCTTGTGTCACATCCTGTTGCGACGTGGGGGCGCGGATAAATTCTACTACAATTTTCGTGACGACATAATAAGCAACAATGTGAAATTCAAAAATTGAAAATTTGCGTCCGGCCGTTTGCTTGGCAATTATTGTCGTCATAGGAACAATATTTTTCTGCTTTGAGATGGCTATTTTAATTTAAAATATGATATCTAAAGTGAGCCGGACCTGTGTTTAGGAGGTATGATTAAGTA